TGATCTGAGCTCATAATTACATCGTTATCTGTGCCCTATGAGATAAAGAGATTTCTAGCTGCAGGCTTTTTTTTTTTAAAAAAAAAAAAAGCTGGGCTTGAAAGAGGATAGAAAAAGGATTTATTTAGTTGAGCTTCTCGAATTTTTAAGCAAAATGTTAAATAGCACGAGTTGGCTTTTATTTGTTTTCGTTTTTCTCCAGCAACTGGGAAGCCATGGGGTGTTTCTCTCCTCCTCAGTGAAGCAGGAGAGCCCCAGAGCTCTCCTGACATCCTGGACTCATGCAGGACGTGTGGTGAGAGCTCCACAACTTGTCCTTTTCCTGAATGATACCCCAAGGGGACAGGGTGGAAGAGGACACGACCGGGGGCTCCCATGGGCTGGGTCATTGGGTGCTGCCGTGGCCTTCCAGGGTGTCTTGACAGGGAACTGGTTGAAAGAGTCCAGAGACATGAAGATGATGGAGTGGAACATCTCCCTGATGAGGAAAGGCTGAGGGAGCTGGGTCTCTTGAGTTTGAAGGAGACTGAGGGGTGACCTCATCAGTGTTTATATTTAAGGGCAGTGTCAGGAGGACGGAGCTTTTTTCACTGGTGTCCAGTGGAAGTACAAGGGGCAATGGGTGCAAACTGGAGCACAGGAGGTTCCACGTAAACATCAGAAAAAACTTCTTTCCTGTGAGAGTGACAGAGCCCTGGGCCAGGCTGCCCAGGGAGGCTGTGGAGTCTCATTTGCTGGAGACATTCAAACCCACCTGGATCCTGTGTGATGTGCTCTGGGTGCCCCTGCTCTGGCAGGGGGGTTGGGCTGGGGGAGCTTTCCAGGTCCCTTCCAACCCCTGGGATTCCATGATCCTGTCTCAGAGAGGAGCCATTTGGCCACACACTGTACTTTGCATTTCCAGCTCCAGGAGAGGAGCGAAAGCCCAACACGTTGTCAACATCTTCATCCTGGTTCTCGTTCAGGGGGAAAGGTCTGCTCTGCTTGCTGGTTCTGCAGCCTTTCTTCTCTTCACTGGCCACTTCCCAGGAGCAGGAAGGGACCTGCTTCCCTGCCAGCTGCCTGCCTGCCTCCTGTCACCCACGTTTTACAGCCCTCTTGCAGGAGAGCAGATCAGTATTGACTGCAGAGCAACTGGAGCTGTAAATTATGGGTCATGACTGGCTTGGCCAGCACTGAGATGAGAATCTATTGATTGCACCAAAGGTCTAAATCTAATCAGCAGGCGAGGAAACGGGTTGGGAGAGCAGAACAACTCAGATGTGCTGAGACATAATCCAAGCTGCCTACGAAAGCAGAACATGCAAATAATGGTTGTGATCAAATGCAATCCAAACCTCGGGGAGCTTTCAGTGCCCACAGAGCTCCCAGGAAGAACCACCACTGGTCTGGCTGCGGGGAAACTGTGGGTTAACCTGGGGGGTGTGGGAGGTCCATGTGTCCCCCCCAGAGCTGCCATCCTTGGAAGCTCAGCAGCTGCTCTCATAGAGGCAGCACTTGGGGGGCCACCAGCACCGTGGGTGCTGCTGAAGAGGGGAGGGGTCCCATCACCAAGATGGGTGACACCGAGAGGGTCCCACCACCAGGACGGAGGATGCTGAGAGACACCAGCCCTGGGGATGGACATCCTTCCCTTGCCATACCTGGAGCGTTAGTGACATCTGCTGCTGTCTCTGGGCATCGGCGCCGGGTCCGCCGTGCTCAGCTCCACCCCCTCGGGCTTTCCCTGGGTCCACGGAGTGTCTGGGTGTCCCCACGGAGTCGAGGTCACCAGCCCTGTCCCCCCTGCCCAAGGCTGGACACGGCCTTCATGGAACCACCATCTGCTGCCAACCTAGGGGCTCCCTTCCCTATGGCCAGCACCTGGGGAGCAGCTGGAAATCCAGCCTGAAAATGCCAAAATTAAAAGAAAAAGGAGAAAAAATGATGTCGGGGTGGTGCAGCAGCCAGAGCAGAGGGGAGGTCTTGCAGTGGTGCAGCAGGAGTTGCACAGGCCCAGCTGGGGCCTGATGGAGGGCACTGGGAGGTTTGTTTCTCAGGGGCTGTGTTTGCTTTCCAAGAGGACACATCCACAGTTTTCTCTGGCAGTGCAACCCTTCATGTTTGCACCCAACGAGGCACAAACCAGCTGGGAACCCGTGGACATCTTGCCTGTGCACTGAGAGTTTGGTCCCAGACTGATCCCCAACCTTCCCAGATCCTCAGGGGTGCAGGAAACCCAAGCCAGGCCAGGACCCCTTCCCTCTCCCTCACCACCCCAACCTCCTCCTCAGCCTCTCCAACCCAACATCACCTTCTAGCACGCCCAAGCCCCCCACAAATTCCCACAACCAGACCAACCACCCACCCTCACCACTTTGTATTCCCACAGGGAATTAAAGAAACCAAAAAAACCACCATTATGGTTTGTGTTTTGTTATTTTTTTTTTCTTTTCCAATAGTCTCACTTTATTAGCTACCACAGCAAGAGAGGAGGTGGTGCCACATGCAGTGGAAGACTGGAGGAGTCCTAGTTCCTGTGTAACTTCTTCTCTTAATAGCTGTAAACTGAGAGTTTGCTGTAAAATCACTGCATGCGAGTTTGAATGCAAACAGCAGTAGAAGAGGCTCTTTTGTTTTGTTTTGTTCTGGTTTTGCACCATTCCCAATCCATATGTGCATGCTTTATTTACAACGGAAAGGAATCACTGAGGGCAAGAAATCACTGCCAGAGAAACTCAGGAGGTGGCAAACAGGGGATGCTGAGAGGGGGGCTGGCAAGTTGCACTTGCTTTTGATGGGTGCAAAGAAGTGATTTGAGTTATTGTTTGTCTGAAGGGAAAGCAGAGAGTGTCAGCACAGGACCTGGGGAGAGGCAACCTGCATTTCATTGATCTGCACATACAAAGGAGGCTGGGCTGCTGCAGGCATGGACTGAGTCAAGGAATTGCTCAGATCATTGTTTTTCAAGGCAGTTTTCTCCCCAGCACAGCTCAGAAGTGCCCTGTGCCCAGCTGCTGCTCCAAGAGGTAGAGGCAAGGGCCATGCAAAGGTTTTGGACAGGTCCAGCACTCTGGAAGGGGTGACAGCAACATCCTACAGCAGCACTGGACACATGGAAATGATCTGAAAGAACCAGATTGTTTCAGTCTGGGCCTTCTGCACAGCATGGCTGGGGGCTCAGGGACCTTGCACTTACTGGTGCAGAGGCACAAAGTGCACAAAAGGGAGGAAAAAGCCTTTTCTGGTGGGTCCCTTCCCGTGCATCATGCCCTGAGCAGCTCCCACCCCAGCAGCCACGCCAGGGGGTGCAGTCTGGGGTGATGGAAGAGCAGCCCCAGCTCGGGCTGAAGCCAGCAGAGGATGCTCACACTGGTTTGGATTTGCTTGCCCCAGCTGTGGTCCTAGAGTGGCTCCTGGTGGAGAGGTTGGCTACAGGGACCTGCCTGGGAAGGGAAACATCCACACCTTCTTGGACATGCAAGCCCCGAGGTGGGGAAGGGCTGCTCCACAGCAGCATCACTGGGCACACAGAGGTTGGCATCCCATGGGGAGGTTGGCATCGCCCAGCACACAGCCCAGCAGGGATGCTCATGGCGAGTTAGCACTGGGAGCAAGTTCTGCTGGGGCAAGGGTGGGGGAGGAAGGTAATTTTAAAATGCAAGTAATCAAGAATAGGAAGATAATTCATCCAATCCCAAGGAAACAGCTCTGTGGTACAGCTGAGTTAGGAGCACAGCACACAGCAGGAGGCTGGAGCAGGGCTTGCAGGGCAGCTCACGGGCCAACAGCAGGAACCCAAGGGGGCTGGGGATTCAGAACATGCAGGGTGTGCACCCAGCCCTTGGTACATCCTGTGGTGCTTGTTGTGCTGCTTCCAACAGTGCTATGCTGGAGGTTGCCCAGAGACAGTGAATGGTACCAAACCCCCTCAGCATCAGTCTGATGCCATTGTTAAAATAAAAGAAAAAGAAGTTGGAAGACCTCTAACTGTTCCAGATCATCTCAGGATTTGTGGTATCTTAAAGCAATAACCCTTGCACACATCTAGTTGGTGGGAAGTGTCCTCTCCTTGGCTTCCCTCCTGCAGGTTGGCAGCAGCAAGGGTGGCCTGGGGAGGGGCAGGGGCTGCCCTCAGGGCTCAGCTAGTCACTACTACACACGGGGTGTGAGGAGGAGGTAGTCACAAGCTTGAAACACGGGTGTGCTCCTACAGCGATGGAGTGCGAGTTCCTCAGGCTAAAGAAAGAACCAGGAACCAACCCAGCCCTGCTTCCCTGCCAGCACCAGGTGGCTCCTTGCTGCTCAGCAGCCTGTTCTTGGAGGATCTTCTCAGCAAAGGATGGACCACAATGTACCAAACCAGAACTACAGCTCAAGCAGGACTCACAGGGTGACATCAGTGACACAGGCTGTAGCCTAACCACAGGGACACAGACACCAGGCCACGGGCACGACCCACACCAAAGCCAAACAGCTTCTTGGTTATTGCAACTGAGGTATTGATATCACACAAGCAAGATGGGGCTGAGGGTCCCAGCCCAGCCCTCAGCACCCCCTGAACCAGAGCAGGGCTGGTGGCCACGTGTCCTGGTGGGAGATGGAGGAGCCAGGAGCTGGTGGTGGTGGGACGGGCCACGTGAGCAGAGGCTGGAGGGACACAGAGCATCACACACACACAACACAGGCTCATCAGGGCAGGCGTGAGACTAGTGAGAAAGAGGAACAGTCAGGGGTGACTATTGCTTGACAAAATTACACACCGGGAGAATTCAATGACACCCCCCCAAAATAAACCCAAACAGAACAAATCCAAGGAAACGAATACAAAAGATCTGGGTTGGTCTTGGGGTGGAGGAGGGGAGGACAGGGCTTGGGGGGGCTGGGAGGAGGCAGGAGGGGGTGGCTGCCCTGGGAGCAGAGGCTGTAGCGAGGCATGACTGCGCTGGAAGACGGACATCAGAGATCTACAGGGCTTGGCAGAGGATGGGCCCTGGTGGCTGGTTGGGGCAGCAGCTCCTCTAGTCACTGGCCACGTGGTTCTCGTTCTGCAGGGTGTGCCAGCGCTCGATCTTCTTGTCCTTGTTCTTCAAACACTCGTACCAGTGTTTCAAGCGCTCCCCCTTGGCCGTGATGCCCAGCTGGCAGCCGCCTGCAGGGGGGCAGGAGAACAGGCATCATTCCCAGGGGTGAGGCTGGTGTTCCAGGGAAACGCCTCCGTGAGGACAGAGCCCCCACTTGGGGCATCTCCACCTCCTGGATTTCCAAAATCTCATGGAAACTGCTAGAGCTGCTCTGCCTGCACAGGACACCCCACGGGATGCTGGAGAGGGGCAGGGCAGTGGGTCCCAATGGTGGATCTGCCATTTGATGGCCTGATACAATCCCCCAACCAACCTGCATGGTCCCACCTGAAACTCAGCCTGGGATCCCTTGCAGGGCAGGTAACCCAAGTTTCTCTCCCATACTATCTCAGGCACAAAAACCACACCCCAGAGCCCAAAGATTTCTCAGCTCACCGATGTAATCATTTGATTTTCCGATGTCATAGTCCCACACTGAGATGTCCAGTGACTTCTTGGCCAGATCGTTGTGTTTTATATCATAGAAGAACTCCTGCAGAAGAACAACCCCCACATCACTCTGAGCATCCCAGGAAAAGGCACCCAGGAAGCTGCAGTTAAGGGAGTGCAAGTGATCTCTCTGTGCAGCCTGAATTCAAAACCCAAAGGGAGGATATCTAAAATCTATTCATGAAGGAAAAAGCCAGATTCCTTCCCTGGGGCACTTCTCCCAGGACCAGAGCAAGCTGCACCAGCCCAGAAGCTGAGCTCCCCCCTTGTATCTCAGTGAGCACTGTGTCCCACCAAGACAGCACCAGCCATGGGACCCTCAGAGAAGCTCATCTCCCCAAGCCAGGGTGACACGGAGCCACCAGCACCTGGGAGGTTTTGGGGTGTGTGGTGCTGCTGGGCACTGCTCTGGTGGCATCTCCCATGGCAAAGCCCTTCCTAACATATTTCCTGGGAAAAAGGAGCCTGAGCAAGGAAGGAGCTTGTGTTCCACCTCTTCTGCACAACACAGCAATTAGCTAGAATTGATTTAATAATTAAAAAAACCCCAATCAGATCCAGCCTTACCTCATTAAACTCAGGGTTCAATGTTTTCTTCTTAATCTGTGTCTTGTGCTTGGCCTTTTTTCCCATGTCAGGTTTCAGCCAACTGGGGGCAACAGAAAACAGTTCAAAGCTCAAGGGCAAGAACAGCACGAGCTCATGAGCTGAACAGAAACGTGAGTGTTGGGGCTAGGAAAAAAAAAAAAAGCAACTAAGATATTTATTTGAGGCAAAGAAATGGGTTGGCCAGTCTCCCTTCCCACCTTCTAAGCTTATCTAAAATAAATGTAAAATGAATAAAATTCTGAATATTCTGGGTTTGGAAAAAGAGGAGCCAGGATGGTCACCAGCAGATGAGGAGGATCACAGGGCTGGTCACCAAGCCTGGCTGCTGGAGAAACAACCACCAAGGTGTGAGCACAGAGAGAGAGGGAGACACATGGAAGATGAAAACAGCCCATTGAGCACAACCCCCTGCAGACTGGGGTGCTCAGCCAGGGTGGGCTGACCTAGAGAAATGTTTGGGGTCTGGCTTCACAGCCTGGCTGCAGCCCCAGGACTAAACTGGTGGTGTTCATTAGATCTGTGTTGGAAGCTGAGTTAAAAATGGAAAGCCCCATCTTCTGCTGGGGGAATGGCAAGTGGACAGGAGTGAGACAGACCAAGAAGGAAAACTACTCGGTTCCCCTCAGCTGCAAGGTGTGTGAAATGTTCAACACAAGAGTTATTGAAAGGGGTTTAGGGAGAACAAATGGTTTTTTTTCTGAAGGCAAAGGAAAAACAACAACAAAAACCACAGCTGGGAATGACTGCAAGGTCCTCTCCAGGCCCTGGTTTATGAGGTTCCAGTTCAAACCGTCTCATTCCCCCGTGCTGGCAGGAGCTACTGGGCAAGTGCTGCTCCCCTTGCCTGCCAAGAGCCCCTGTGGATGCACTTCTGGCCCAGGAGAGCTGCTCCATGTCACAGCATCCACTGCTGTCTGCAGTCATTTGGCCAACTTGTTTGCAGCAGAGACAGGGAGAGGCACAGCAGGGCCACCCCAGCTCCAACCAGCACGTTTGGTGGGGCAGCAAGTGGGGCACATGCTCCTCCCCGGGCACAGAGGGGCTGCCGAGCCGCCCTTGCCCTGCAGCCGTGGTGGGGCAGAGCCTGGGAGAGGGACCCCCCGGTACCCACCTCTGCAGCTGCGGGGTGGCTGCCAGGTCCCACACACCAGGGAACCCTCAGGAGGAGGA